TACTACTTTTGAAGTCCTTTTTAAAATCTGTACTTTTACCTTTATTTCAGTAGGTTTTCTGTTAAGTTTTGTAATTCGCTACATTTTAAATCACATCCGTTACTGAGTAAAAAAATAGGCCTGCTATGAATGATTTTCCCTCATCGGGTTGCCAACCGTCCCGTAAAATACGGAATCGTCCCGTATTTTACACTTTGATATTGCGTCCCGTTTTGAATCAATACGGGACGCGGTATTTCCCGTATTTCCAAGATGCCTTGAACTCAGCATCATTCAGCCCGATTCAGCCGGCTAGTTCTCGCCTCCTCAGAGCGTCCGTTGGTTTGTTTGGTTCTTTTTTGGCATGAGCAATAAGAGCTCTTTAGTGATTGGGTGAGAGAAAGTCATAGGAGTCAGAAGGAAACATGTCTGCAGGTGTCTGTCGAGATATCATCAATACAACATCAATATATCGACAGTAGACACTTAATTAATACAATAAGAAAATAGTTCAAAACCATATTAATCGTATCATTCATGATTTCATGAGAAAACAACAAAAACAAAAGACAGAAGGACAGAATAAATGAATAAAAATACTATTAAATTCGTACTGTTTATTTAATAAAAAATCTGTCATCTTACTGCTCCCCTCTATGTTACAGCAGTGTCAAAAGCACTTTAATAATACTCTGTTAATGAATTAATGTTAAGTTAATAACTTTATTTTATGTTTAAGTTAAGTTGTAAATTAGATAGGCCTAGCTAGTAGTAATCATCTGCTGACGTCCTGTTAGGTGCATTTCATTGTGCATACATGACTGTATCTGCCTTTACACTGATGTTTTGCGTTTTTGTAAATTATTTCAGAAAAGAAAGTGTTAATAAAGCACTTAAAACTTTAAGTATGACTCTTACTACTTCATTAAAACCACGTTTTAAATCATGATTCACCACAACTGGTGCCCCACCCCACCGTTCGGCCAGTGGTGGTCAGGCCCCTTCTGAGTTGCACCCCGCTGCAGGGTGTCCTTTATTTTTCTGCTTGGAAGGTGGCAACCCTACTCATCGCACCGGAGCGAAGAGAGAGAGAGAGACAGAGAGAGAGACAGAGAGAGAGAGAGACAGAGAGACAGACAGAGAGAGAGACAGAGAGAGACAGAGAGAGAGAGACAGAGAGCGATACAGAGAGAGACAGAGAGAGATACAGAGAGAGAGAGACAGAGAGAGAGACAGAGAGAGAGACAGAGAGAGACAGAGAGAGATACAGAGAGAGACAGAGAGAGATACAGAGAGAGAGAGAGAGAGATACAGAGAGAGATACAGAGAGAGAGAGAGAGACAGAGAGAGATACAGAGAGAGAGACAGAGAGAGATACAGAGAGAGAGACAGAGAGAGATACAGAGAGAGAGACAGAGAGAGATACAGAGAGAGACAGAGAGAGATACAGAGAGAGATACAGAGAGAGAGACAGAGAGAGAGACAGAGAGAGACAGAGAGAGAGACAGAGAGAGACAGACAGAGAGACAGAGAGAGACAGAGAGAGAGACATAGAGAGAGAAAGAGAGAGACAGAGAGCGATACAGAGAGAGACAGAGAGAGATACAGAGAGAGAGAGACAGAGAGAGAGACAGAGAGAGAGACAGAGAGAGACAGAGAGAGATACAGAGAGAGACAGAGAGAGAGACAGAGAGAGAGAGAGAGATACAGAGCGAGAGACAGAGAGAGAGAGACAGAGAGAGAGACAGAGAGAGAGACAGAGAGAGACAGAGAGAGAGACAGAGAGAGACAGACAGAGAGACAGAGAGAGAGACAGAGAGAGAGACATAGAGAGAGAAAGAGAGAGACAGAGAGCGATACAGAGAGAGACAGAGAGAGATACAGAGAAGAGAGCAGAGAGAGAGACAGAGAGAGAGACAGAGAGAGACAGAGAGAGATACAGAGAGAGAGAGAGAATACAGAGCGAGAGACAGAGAGAGAGAGAGACAGAGAGAGAGACAGAGAGAGAACAGAGAGAGAGAGAGAGATACAGAGAGAGATACAGAGAGAGAGAGACAGAGAGAGATACAGAGAGAGAGAGAGAGAGATACAGAGAGAGAGACAGAGAGACAGAGAGAGAGATACAGAGAGAGAGACAGAGAGAGATACAGAGAGAGAGAGAGAGAACAGAGAGAGAGAGATACAGAGAGAGAGAGAGAGATACAGAGAGAGACAGAGAGAGAGAGAGAGAAGAGAGAGATACAGAGAGAGATACAGAGAGAGATACAGAGAGAGAGAGACAGAGAGACAGAGAGAGACAGAGAGAGATACAGAGAGAGATACAGAGAGAGATACAGAGAGAGAGAGAGAGACAGAGAGAGAACAGAGAGAGACAGACAGAGAGACAGAGAGAGACAGAGAGAGAGACATAGAGAGAGAAGAGAGAGAGACAGAGAGAGATGCCACTACAGCTAGTGCAGCACGGATAAGCTCCTCCACTACTGTGGGTCTACCTGCTGAAGGTGTTTATAAACTGATGTCTCATTGTCTTAAGTCCAACATGATTAAAATAAGTTGGCTGTGGTTCTTACTCTTGGGCAAAGAAGTGGCTGAGGATGCTTTTTCTCACTGCAGCGTTCGCGACTACAATCGCCGCTGCAGCTCCGAGCGATAAACACATTTAGTTCCGGAAAGTTTTCACAATAAAAGTCCCTTAATTGACATCTCTGTGTTGTGCTTTTCTTTTGAAACAGACGTATGAGGAAAGTGGGTGTTATAAGCTGCTGCAACTTAACACATCTGAGACGTGTGAAAATAAATACTTCAAACCAAACAGATTCAGTTAGAAGCTTCAGTAGCTAATAGGTAAACAAACAGTGACTAAGACATCTAATATTTAAGCTCATAAAGGCTCAATTTAAAACAATAAATGAATTATCTTTCATCTCAGGTTTATTTGCAGCTAAATCAGCCTTTGATGCTGTCTTTGAGACTAACCAGCCTCAGAATAATAAAACTAAAAACACTAAAATACTCTTTACACTGTCATGATTGAGACAAAGATCCTTTTAGTATTTTCTTAAATAGTTTAAACATTTCCCTTCATAAAACAGCTGATTACTTGAACATATAATCCTTGATTATTTATCCATCATTATGTATATTTTGTTTTTAGGCTATGAGAAAATGTTTATCAGAAAAGATAAATCTTTGTTAAGATTTGCCGTTAATTAAAAAAACTTTGAGATTAATTTCCTCTCGTCCTTTTTTCACAACACGAGAGATGCGTTGTTAAAAAAAAGTAACTAAGTAACTTTTACTTAAAGTACATTTTAAACAAGTTACTTTTTACTTTTACTTGAGTACATTTTTAATCTGGTACTTTTACTTGTTTTACTTATTTTAGCAAAGTAACAGTACTTTTAATTGAGTAGAATATATTAGTACTCTTTACACCTCTGGCAGCGAGTCTGTTTTCGCCGGAGTACGCTGCAGGCACGCGTCAAGCTGGACAGAATATGACAGCCCGGACAGGAAGTCAGACAAGGAAACGCACAGAGCGTCCAGTCAATTTTAAAATTAAACACAATATGCAGACTCACGATCGTATTTTTCATCACTTTATCAACATTACGTCAAAACAGGTATCGAATTAACCACAATGCATCCTCAGAAAGACAAAGCAACATGTTGTTTGCATGTTTTACTCTTTATTCCCGCGGGATCTTGTAGTTGTCCTGTGATGTGTCATAGGTGTGCTGACGTCCCAGAAACAGATCCAGTGTGAATGGGCGCGAGCCGTCCGAAGGAGCAAAACCGTGGCACTGACAGACCGCGGCACGCACGGAATATGTGTAAATTGGGGGTTAGGCTCCTTGAAATTGTTGGTTGACGGCCTGCCAGAACAACCCCAAACCCCCAACCCCCAACCCCACCCCCTTACTCCCTATCCCTCTTCCTGAATTTTATCCCATCTCTCCCCCTATCCCTTTCCAAGCCTGGCGCAGTCTAGGCCTGTGAAGGCTGATGAGCCCGGGATCAGGCCGAAGATTTCTGACTTTTAATAAGTTTTGTTGTTGGTCTTTTGTATAAAGTTTAATTTTATACAAAAGACCAACAACCAACAATTGTATTTTAGTGTGTCGTGAGTTTATGAAGATAAAGACTGTAAAGATTGCACAAAGTAGTAGTTGCAATAATGAGCTTAAACTGCACATCATTTACAAGTAAAAAGATATTTATTAAAAAAGATTTCTAAAATAAGAGAAAATGTCTATCCACAGGCAACACTCTCTAAAGAACACAAGGGGAGGCTCTCAGCGTACTGAAACACCCATGTAAGACCATAACATCATCTGCTGAGATCATCAGCACACTTATACTGTGTTTTTTTAAAGGTGCTCTATGGAGTTTTGGTAGAGAAATGTGAAAGTTGGAGAAATGTACAGATTCTGTGGTATGTGTTCATTACTCTATATGCTTCTATAGAAGTACAATGTGACAGAGCAAAGCAGAGAGATGATCACCAATGACCAAAGTGACTACAACAACAGCAAAGACAGGAAATGTGGAAAGCCTAAATAAGTGGGTGGGCAACAGGAGGTACCTGAGAAATTAGTTTAAAAAGACATTTAATGCAGATATGTTGAGATAAGAAGAACAAATATGTTTAAATATCTGAGTACTTTTCACATTGTGAATTAAGTCAAAGGTTTCCATGCAGTGGCTCATTTTTCTTCTGCTAATTAAAACGTGCAGTAGATCTGATCAAACTCGTAGCTCTCTCCTTCATCACTCGTATGACTATCATTACAAGCTCCAATGTTTTGTCAGTGGTTATAATGCCACTGATGGGACTCCAAAGCCCCTGCAGTAACAGACGGGTGATGTCACTCTGGCTTAGTCCATTCATTCTTACAGGCTGTGGTTGCACACCAGAGAAAAATTAGATACATTGAAAACCAACATTTTAAACATCTAATCCACATTCTATATTTGACCTAGCCTCCAGTGACTCCGGTGACTCCATCGGTCCACCCATGTTGAGCCTGGTGTATCTTGGATGATGGTGTTCAGTCCAGCCATCACGGTCCTCTCCACCTTCCTGTGCCTGACTTTTGTTTATCTCTGCAGTCAGAATGCAGGTAAATACACAACAATCACTTTTTACCTGTTAAGTATAGACATTTTTGAATTGACTTAAATACAAATGAATCATATTGATTGTGATGGATCATTGAATGAATGAAGTCGTTGTCTAACAAGAAACCTTTTATTTATGATTCTACAGATGAAAAAGATCAAATGACTGAGAGAAGACCTGACATGGGAGAGGAAAGTACAGTGAATCAGGTAAGGACTTTCTTTGGTATTTTCATGGTCTCAGAACCATTAGACATCTTTGCAGCAGTAGAGACTCTGTACTAATGACACTCATGTTACTGTGTCTGATTACCTTTCAGGATGAAGACGCATGTTTCACCAGAGTTGTGTTCTTGTGTGTCGATGGACAGAACAAATAGATTGGCTTTGTCTGAGCGGACATCACACAACCTCCACTTCAAACGTCTCACAAAGTCTTTAGCGTCTGAGTTTAAAGACCTGTTATATTTGTATACAGTGATGATGCGTTTTGGGGGCGGAGTCAAAATGATGTCAGAAAGTCAGCTAGTGGTGTTGAATTAACTGTTTGTTTGTTTGTTTTCTGGCTTCTTGCCTTCACTTGATAAGACGGTGTATAGAGTAGTAAACAGGAAAGAGAGAGGGGGGAATGACATGTGGTAATGGAACCACAGGCCGGACCTGAACCACCCGCCCAGAGGACCAGAGCTTCCAAACATTCGGGGCAACCCAACCAGCAGGTCAGCTGTGGTCATGAATTAACAATTGGGTCTTCGGCAGATGTTCAGCAGAAGCAGCTTTTGAGGACCCTTGTTTACTATCACAATGACGTTAATCATCCTACTACGACGCTCGATGGCCGATTAGGATCCAATTTGTCAATGTCTTCAGAGACATAAACATCAACAAAACAGATATTTTCAACAAGTAAACAAGTAAACAAGTATCGTTATTATAGCAAAGATTACTTTGACACGACTAAAAGTGACAGCAAGAGATCGCTGCCAGGCTTAGAACTGTGCAACCCAATACATGGCCTTCCTGGGCACCCACAGTGCTGCACTTTCAGGAGGAAGACTCAGATTTCATTTTAACTAGTTCACCACAATGAATTAATTTTTTTAACATTAATCCCGTTTTAGTTTGCATACTGTTCCAATTTATTCATCATGTGTAACTATGTTGTAACCATTACTAATGTACATGTATTTCCTTTATGTTCACCATCTATTTGTAATAAAGATTCACATTAAGCCAAGAACTTTGTTGGTTTGTTTCTGTTGAAAGGTCGAGCAGATCTAAGAAAGGCCGAACCCCAAGGGACCCACACAGAAAAAAAGTGATAGGCTAAGATTGATGTCAAAAATCAACAAAAATTAATTCCAATTTATTCAGTGAGAACCTTAAGTCGAGGTGTGGCTGACTAAGGCAGCCTGATGTTTTTCAGTGAGGAAACATGAATTTTACACAGTTTGAGTAAAATATGGTAAAATCTTCTGAAGGTTCAAAAAGATTTGCAAATGTAGAAATACACCGCAAGAAAAGGTGTCATTGTTGCTTTAAGTTAGGATGAACCCTGTTTGTGCAAGCCTCCATGGGTCCTTCCCATGCAATCTTTCCCCAGAAATATCTTAAATTGACTTGAGCTTGCATAGCACTTTTCTATTCTTCAGTCTACTCAAAGCACTTTTACACCGCAGACGAAGTAGCTGGAGCAACTTTGGCTTGAGTGTCTGCTTAAGGACATATCAGACATGTTGCCCCAAGCTTTACCCTTTTTCCCCACCGTAGGGCGGCCATAAATATTGAATCACACCATCAAATGCCAACATTTATATAGGGAGAGGAAAATATGCCTGAGCTGGTATAAGGATACACATGTTCAGTTCAGGCTGCGTAGGTTTTATGCCATGAAACAAACATGTTTTAAATGTATAAGAACACAAAAATCCTACAAGTGGTTTTTCAGCATTGTCTGAGAAGGCTAAAATGCTGTTTTTATGGTCGGAAA